AAAAGGAAATTCAAAGTGCATGAACATTCTGGTATTTTAAAATGGTATATCCATACTTATTCTGTATTTGGAATCAATTGAGATTACAAATGGCAAACCTTGTGATGCCATAGACTTTTATATTAAAATGTTTGAGTTGAGTATTTTTCTTTTAAAATAAAATCTCTGAAGAAAATTAAGCTTTAACCCTATACAACTACTTTGAAGTTCAGTTAGAACCTGTGAAAAATCTTTGGCTATTTCATTATAGGATAATAAATTAGCATATTCTAAAAATTAAAGATGTTGAAGAGCATTAGTGTTATAAACTCTGCAAAACTTATTAGGCAATTTTCAAGTATTTTGGATTTATCCAAACTAAAATCACATTTTCCAAGTCCTATTCTTAATATTTATTTTATGTATATTTGTGATAATTTAATGCTTCAATTCCTCATGCATTTATATCATCATTCATCAAAATACTTTATAAGCACTATTTTATTAATATCTCCAGAAAGCTTCTAAGCCTCTTATGCCACTTTTTCATTGAAAGTAATGAATAATTTACTCAAAATGTAGTGAATTTTAAATTCTAGAAAGTTTAGATTCATCTCTGGGTTCTTTTATCCTGAATCTCCAAAGCTATGTAGAAATTTAGTTATTATCTATTATTTCAAAGGGGACACTTAACCAGTGGAACTAGGATAAAAACCCAGGTCAATGTGACTTTAAAGCTAGTGTCTCCTCTCCATTGCGCTTCACTGTCCCTGATGTTATTTATCTTGTTTCCTTTTTCTTTTTTTCTTAATATCTCCTTCCATTCCAATGACTGTGAGAAGAAAATAATAGGTACAACAATAGAATTGAAATACTACTTTTATTTCATTCCTTTTACTGTGGGCAAAATAGTATTTTGTAAATACTATTATATCTGAAATATATTAAGTAAGCTTTGATTTAGAGGAATTCTAAAGTGAATGAAACTCCTAGTTTATATATAATCTATATTTCCTATACTGTGTTGTCTTGAAACTATAGCCCTTTAGGAATACCAGATGAAGAAGATTAATTGGCAACCTTTCTTCTAAAATGCAAAAGATAGAAGTATTAACTTCTAAAGTAGTAATAGCTAAGAAGTAATAGGCTGTATAGTTCAGCATTCTTTAGTAATTTAGATAATCTATTATCAGAACTCAGAGCTGGTTTTCATTTAGATATAATACACATTTTTGGCTATATATATTTTGGAGAGGAATTTAAAAATAAAAACTCTATATTTTTCCTTCAATATACTTAACTATTTTTCTGAATCATTAATATTCAGAACTGAGTGTTTTAAATAAGTAGGGTCAAACTCCTGTATTACATGGCTAGTTATTATGTGTCACTTGTATTTTCATGTTCTATCTCAGTAAAATCATACAATATGCAACTGTCCTATCAGCATTAGCTTTAGGAACTGGCTATCTTAAAAAGATAGTATGCAAATATATAGAAAATGCTTGTGAAAAATATATTCACTATTTCCTTAAATATATATATGTATATATATATATGGCATAATAAATGTAATAGCTCTATAATTAGAAATGGGAAAGTTTGAGGTAATTTTTTGGAATAATTTTTAAATTGAACAAAAATGTTTCTATTTAGGAAAAAAAAGACTAGATCAACCTTTCTTTTGACTTAGAAGTTTTTGTATGCTAAAGTAACAAACAAGAACGTTGTAAAATTATCCTTGAGATTTCTACTTTTAGAATGCAAGTAAACTCAGTAACTTAGTAAATTTCACAATTATTTTTCCTCTTTTTAACAATGTGTTCAATTCTATCTATTGTAGTTAATCAGCAATATTTTATAGAAATAATAAAGTATTGTGAGTGGTTAAGAAACACTTTGCCATTTATTTACCAGAAGAATAAAAATGCTTTTAAAATTTCATTTTAAGCTTCATTTATTAGCTACAATGCACAAAATATTATAATCACCACATTGTTACCATATTGAGTTAAAATATGTATAGTTTTTATTTATTTCAAAATGTGTTTACAATGGACCCTTAACATTTAGGAAGAGTATGCCCAGATACAGATTTTTGATTAGCTTTTTAGCATCTAATATTTTCCCATAATATTTAATAACATATAGCTAAAAATCTTAAGTGACATTTTTCACATCCTTAATAATTCCTTAGTTATTAGCCAGTCTACTCATTAACTTTTCTGGAATATCTTGCTTTTAGCTAAAAGCTATCACTTTCTTTGTTGCAGTGTCTGCTATTATCAGAACTCAGAGCTGGCTTTCATTTGGAAGTCTTTCTGTTGTTGTTGTTTAAATGAATAAAAAGCTTTAGAACAAAGCAAGATTAAGGTGCAGACTCTGGGCTGTAAGCCTTATCCACTCCCTTGCCAAATTCCCATTCACCAACTTCCAACACATATGATTACTTGGCATAGATATTGAAATGTACTACCACATAGTCAAAACTGAATGCTAAATTCACAAGTCCTAAAGGACTAATTTTTAGAATTTTATCCTACTAAATAGTCTTGACTTTCTGTATTATACTGGGAAAATAGGTTTAAAATTAGATTTGACTCCTGTAATCTGTGTTATATACCAAAATATAGGTTTAACTCTAAAATAACTTATAAATAGATAATACTATTTAAATGATATAAATGCAGTATAAATTTGAACTAACATTTATAGTATATATAGTTCAGCTGTATGTAGAAGACACAAGCAGAACAGATTAGATAGATAAATAGATAATCACTAGACTATTTCACAAGAATTTGCTATAGGACCAATCTTTGCCAAAGTGTCCTATGGGGCTTATGACTTTATATTATTTAATGTTACATTTAATTTGCCAACATTACCATTTAAAAATATTTATGTATCAAATAAGTAGTTGGTCTCTATGGCATTAGCCCACACCTATTTGAAAAGATTCTACATCAAATTTTGAATGTTCAAAGTCTCATAATTTTTTGTATATTTGCTTTAGTTTGAGAAATTAAAAGAAAAGTCTGAAGATTGAGAATTAAGCACACATGTTTACTTTTCTTCCTTTCTGAAATCCTATTGAAACGTCAGTAAAGATATATAGAAAAGCAACCCTGAAAGAAATATTATATTCCACTGGGATGTTTCTGGAAGATAGAAAGTAGAGAGGTTCAGACCAATAAAGAAACTAGAAACATGGAAACCACTCTACAACATGCAAAAGAAGTTGCTAGGGTGTAGTAAGAACCACTCTCTGGAGTAATGTCAACTTCAGAGAAAAATTAAAGAGTGAAATAGGCTACAGGGTAGTCATCAAAGAGGGAAGAAGGTAAAGAAATGTTTATGAGCAGCTAAACAAGTCAGCTCCTTCTTTGTATTATGCTACAGCATTTGCTTCCTTGAAGTGTTTTCTGAACACTGAATATAGCATGGGTATTAACCACAGTGTGAGAGCAGAACAGAGTTCAAAGTTACTTCTGGATCTCTGCAAAGGCCTGACAGAGAACAAATAGGCAGATCTACCCCAAAGTGAAAAAAACTAAATTATTCTACTTGAGTTATAATTTACTCTTGATCACTTGTTCAAATCATCAACTATTTGCTTGCTTCTGTTCACAAGTCCTAAAGACAAGCTTACCCACATATATATACCATCCATTCATACAGTGTCTGAATCAACCTTCCTGCTCTGGAGTGATAGACCTTTTGGATAAAACAACCCTGTAACAGTAGAGAAAAGCTTTGCTAGATCCCAATATCTACCAACCTAGACTTTTGTTGGTAAATAAGAATGGAAAACCAAGGATCATTTAGACATTTTAGGCAAATCAATAACATGAAAGAGAAGAATTGAGATTAATGAAATGAATGGCAATGGCAGAAAGGCTAGCTGTCAACTAGAGATTAGTGATCTCCATCCATAGTGTAGAGTTTTCCTGGAATCAGCTGCCTAGCCAGTGAGAGCATTTCCCAGCCACCATTGCTTCAAGGTAGGGTCATGTGACTAGCTCTCACCAGTGAAATATGAGCAGATGTGGTGAGGGTCACTTCTTGGCCAAAGTAATCAAGAAACTAGTTTATTTTTTCCACTTATCATTTCTCCCACAGCTTTTTCACTTCTTTCTTCCACTCAAGTGTCACTTCTTCAGAGAGACCTTCCTTATAGTCCTAAATAAAATAGCTCACACCCTGCCCCAGCTCCATCACTCTCCATTGCCCTACTTGTCCTCACAGCACTTCTCACCAGAAGTGATTCTCACCAGGTGATCTTTGACAAAATACATCTGTTTATGTGTTTTTAAAATCTATCTTTCCCACCAGAATAAAAACTCCATGAGGGCAGGGACTCATTTCAGCAATATCCCAGCCCCTACCTACAGCAATGAGTGCCTGTTACCTATCAAACATTCAATAAATATGTAAAGGATGGATGAATGAAGCTTTGATAGTGAAAAAATGCATAGATCTCAGGAAAATGTAGCATATCCTTCAGTTTTCAGTCAGCTATAAATATGTTGTCAAGGGTTTCTAGAGTAACTCAAGAAAATTTTTGTCATCTTCACATATAAATAGGCCCAGAGGGATGAGGCTTTAAAAAGTATGAGGGTACAGTTTCCAGGACAGAATACTGACAAGGGTAAAGCGAAGGTGTTGAATTCTCACTGCACCCCCTCTTGTTCACAGTAGTCTATGTGCTTTGTGATTTCCTTTGCAGTTCTTGGTTACAGTAAGGAGTGTCAGGATGTTTAAGTACTCTCTGAGGGTTGCTGTTTTGTTCATCTTTCAAACCATAGAGAAGTGTGAAAATTAGGTCATATCTCATGAAATTTAAATAACAAAACACTCCACCTCGCTTAATAATACCCCTGTTCTCCCCTGGCTATATTTCATTGTGCCTATAAATGGGAATTATTATTTTTGGTTTAGTATCACAACTTGAGGTGGATTTTTCCCTCCCTCCATTTTGGGGGAACTGACATGTTTTATTATTTATTCTTGTTCCTCAGAATGGATTGGGATGATGCTTATTCCCGTAATTCATTTGACCTACATTGTTTGTTAAACTCATTTCCTGGAGACTTGGAGTTCAAGCAGATCTTCAGTGACATTGATGAAAAGATTGAACAAAATGCTACAAGGTAAATATTGCTAATTACTTAAAGCAAATTGTTTTCATGTTTCATTTACATGAAATTTGCCTAGTCTGGTTTTAGTGTTTCCTGCTTTTAGATAATTTTAGGTTTTAATTACCATTAACTTTCCTGAAAAATATTGATTAAAATTAAACATGATTTTCTTTATCAGATTAGTAGTTTTAATAAGACTAGAAAATATAAAGCATTATCTTCAGTAGGCAAATTAAAGTTTATTGAATTGTTCCTAATGATTTCTTAGAGTTTGTCAATATTGATGTTCTAGATTTTCATTAAGTTAAGATTCTAGATTTTCATTGAGTTAAGCATTCTCCTATGAAGGATAAGCACAGAAATTAAAATTTCAAAATTAAAGTATTAAAATAAAAGGCATTATAAGGCCATAATTTCTTGAGTTGCTAAAAACAGAACATTAACAATAATTTTTTTTGCATAATGATTGTCATTTAAGTAGGAGCCAAGACTCCATAGAGAGTCGCTTTACCAGATTAGTCTTCATCACCTACCCCAACAGGTCGTGTTTACCATATACTGGGGGAAGCAGAGACAGCTAAGCAGTTTCCCACTAATACATGTTCTTTGATAGGAAGGATTTTGTCTTCATATGTATCTGTGGACCCTATAATCAGTTCACTTATTTGAATCTTTTTGTTCAAAGGTTCTAATCTACTTTCTGTGGGTTTTTACTGTGTAAACAATTTCTACAGTAAAAATTTTCACAGTAAAAATTTCTACTGTGCAATGATACATAGCATTTCCTTTTTTAAAATTTAAGGTATAGTTATATTAAATTTTCAAAGAAACCGAACCAAGCAACTAAAATGTTCCTGTTATATTTTTCTTCCTGTTTCTTCCTGAGAATAGTTAATTCTTTATTACAACAATGACCATAAATAACTTCAAAAGATAGCATATTGTTAGGGTGTTATACTTAAAGACAAAATCTTCTCCCATCCCAGAAATCCTGTCCATGAAGGTAATAAAGAAAGAAAACATTCTTATTATTGAATAAGCATTAAACCAGATTATGATATGCATCATGGACAATCCCCCAAGAGATTGCAGAGACAGAAAGGAATCTCACCCTTATATAGCCAAACAGATATAACCCATTACATTACGTGTTGTCAAGATAAACAATCACTGGTCCTCAAGTAAGAAGACTAGACTGCGCATTTTGTCACACAGTTCATCCTAACTTCACCATGGTAATTAGGGAGACCACCTGTGTTAGCTAATTGGCTTTATCCTGAGGAGAAATAAACTTCTTATATCTTTCTGACAGGAGGTAGTTTTTGCAAATTGGAGCAAGGTGCCTACTGAAGTTAGAGAATACTCCCACAGGAACTGGGAGATAGGGGAGTGATCTCCCTTGATGTTTGCATTTCAAAAAGATAGCTCCCAGGTTCTCTAGAAGGACATTCCTGGGTCACAAAGCTGACAGAAGGCCTGCTGACAAAAGGCTTATCTAGTCTTCCAAGGGATACATGTCAAGAAGATGAAAAAATACTTATGATGACAAGTTTTCTAAGGTAAATGCTCTAGGAAAAAGGAGAGGAGGGAAAGCTTTTCCTTCATTTTCGAAAGGAAGAATTAAACCTCTTATTCTTAATTTATATTTGCCCATATATATTATATATATTTTTTAAAAGATAGCATATATATATGGCTTAACCATACTATCTGAGAATATGCATTATATTTGATATTTCATATAAATATGAAATAACTGTATTAAACCTTAGTGTAATTATGTATTTATGTAACTTTTATATTATATATTTATATATTGCATTACACAGCTTCTCATCCAAAGGAACTTACAAATGAAAATAGTACTCACTTTAATAGCTTAACAAGTGATTTACCTAAATTCCAGAGATGGTTATATTTTTAAAAATCGGAATAATTTTTTAAAAGGTAAACTTTTTCCTTCACAGTGGCATTCAGGCTCCATCAAAACAAAACAAGTCACTGAATGCTGATGTTTTTGTTATAGACTGCTTCAGTTTTATTTACTAAACCATCTGTACTTAATTTCCTGCCCTACCTGGTCAATAAGGAATCATTTTCAAAATAAAACAGTGATTAAAACATTGTATTTTGTATTCATAAATTATTATTAGGTCAAAACTCAGATGTTAGTATTAAAAAGAAAATATAGTATGGAACATAAGGATATAATTTTTAAATTAAAAATATTTTATTGCCCATATATTAAAAGGAACCTGGAGCAGAGCCACCTCAAGTGACCATTGATCTTCACAAGGGATAAAATAAGGAAGTAACTGTATGTGCTGTATGCTACATTTAGAATCAAGTCTATTTTTCATCAAATTCAATTATGTTTTTATTATACTCTAGAGAATAAACATAATAGTATAGGGCGTATATATTTTTAAAAATAAAATACTGAATAATAACTGCGGTTCAGAAGAGTGTAAATCATTTATGCACTCATTTATTGCCTCCTAACAGAATAGCTTTTAGAAAATTGTATGTCATGACGAATCAGTTATGCCACACTTACACCGCAGTAGTTGAATTACCCTTGGCATTTTTGTATTCTAACAGTTCTATTTATCTCCCAGTGGTGTACATTGAATAAGTAATGAACATCTGTATGGTATGGGTTTTCCTCAATACTTTAAAAGAAAAAAAAAAAAAAAACATTAGTAATTCACTTTTAAATATGGTATTTTCCCTTACACTTGAATTTTTAAAGTTGTATTTCTAGCAGTGACCCTGACATCTAGTGTGAATTCCTTCCGTCTTCTTAATATCATCCGGTTTTATGAGCCAGAGGGTCTGCCGCCTCCCCAAAGCAGTGATTCACCAGAATGGACCAGTGTGCCCAGAGGTCACTGAACCTTCACTTGCCCTTCAGGATAGGCTGTCATTTTCTCGGACCATTTCCACTTTTACATCCTCATTTTCATTCAAGTCAGAGCTGGGTGACTCCTAAGCCTGACAGTAGAAATCAGTGATGGTGAATCCTCTATTTTGAAGACATATTAAAATTGGTATTAAGAGGGTAAATAATCTGCCAAACAAGAATGCTATGAATATTATACCCACAGATTTAGTTAGTTCACTAACTGCAAATGGCACATAGCACTGAAATATTTTTGAGTTGACTAGAACTTATTATTAGTTTAACAATATATTGAGGTATAGAAGTTCTCTTGGGCTCACAATAAGACATAGAATGATTTTTTTTCCTCTTAATGTTGAGTTGCCTAGATATATCTTAAGAGTTTATTTACTAATAAGAGTTTATTTACTTTTCTATTTTCTAATTAGAGACAACCTCTATGTATATGCCAGGGAGTAAGTTTTGCTACTGATACAGGATGACTGCTTTTTTTTAATTTAAAGAAAAATCAGGAAGTGCTACCAGGGATAATACTATTTGTACTAATCCAAGAGATGTAGGGGGAGGGAAGACATTAACTTTGCACTATGAGAAAATATTGGATAAATGTTTTTTATAGATTTAACCATGCTTATTAATGAGAAGATACCATATCCCATAGATTACACTTATTTTTCACATAATGCTTAACTTTTTTGAGCTTATACATCAAACTTTTCTTTAGAAAATATCTTTAGAGTGTTCCACACAGTGGCTTACATGTCTGGAAGAAGTAACCAAAAGAAATCTGTAAATAATCCATCAACCTGGGACTTCTCATGGTATAGCCTCATATCTATTGTAGATACACTCACACACATATAATAATATATTAATATTTTGTAGCCATAGCAAATTATATAAAATGCAAATGAGTCATTTCAAAGGCTTTATTATGTATTATTATTTCTGACGGTATTTGGCACTTATTTAATAATGAGAGGATGTAAATTAATATATGCTCCTTTTTAAAACTTCCTATGTTTGTACTTCAGTTTTGGGTTTGTTTACTCTTATACTCCATTTCACAAAAATCCCTACCTCTCTCCCATCCTATTGAGCAAGACAAGGCCACATGCAAAGAAACCTGAAAGAGGCCACTTTCTCCATCTATTCTTGAACCCAGAGTAAGACCTAAACAGCCACTTTCCAATTTCCTCTGACTGGGCCCCTTCCAACACTCTCATCCTCCCTAGAATTAAAAATGCATCCCAGGCAGACAACATGTTGGGCCTCAGTGGCTTACTAGCCTAAACTTTCCCTGGCCCCATTCATATTTCCTTTTTTTTTTTTTTTTTTTTTTTTGAGACAGAGTCTTACTCTGTTGCCCCAGCTAGAGTGCCATGGTGTCAGTCTAGCTCATAGCAACCTCAAACTCCTGGGCTCAAGCGATCCTTCTGCCTCAGCCTCCTGAGTAGCCTGTAGCTGGGACTATAGGCATGCGCCACAATGCCCGGCTAATTTTTTTCTATTTGTGGTAGAGACGGGGTCTCGCTCTTGCTCAGGATGGTCTCGGAACTCCTGAGTTCAAACTATCCGCCCGCCATGTGCTTTCATGATTTAAATGTTAGATTTTTTTTTTAATTTTTATTTCCTGAATCAGGGTGGAGGTGTCATGGGAGAGTTTAAAGATTATTTTTATAGTATCTCTTTAAATCTTTCTCATATGTACTCCACCCTTTGCAGATAATGTTATCAGGATTTGGTGTCAAGGGTGTTTTTTCCTGAAAGTATAGTTATAACTTTTTGAAATGACTAAAACCTCTGTGAAATAGAAAATAGTTCAGCATAAATGTTAAATCTCTTACACTTTTTAGCCAATGAAGTCGTTTTTTCAGGAATACTTTTTTTGACCTTTTAAAAAATATTATCCAGAAATGTCTTTGTCCCAGGAAAATAAGTTTTCAATTCATGGCTTATATGTTTAATTGTAAGTTTAATTACATACTAGTTTTGATACATCAGCCATCTTCCCTATATTATTATAATTACCTGCTAATTCCAAGGAATTTTAGTAATCTAGTTAGATAAATTGGGCTTATCTAAAAACTAGAAAATTCTATGTACCTCATAACTAGTTATTTATGCTTTTAAACACAAAAAGCACAAAAATGTAAGAGAATTGAAATGTAAATGTAACGGAGTTGAAAAGACTTTTCCTTAAACCAAACTTACATTAGGGGTAAAAAGTAGAAGCAAGAGCATCAAAAATATAAAAGCTTTTGAAAATGTTATTTAATGTTTGGATATCTATGATAATATCTGTTGTATCTCATGCTATAAAAATAATCTTTAAACTCTCCCATGACACCTCCACCCTGATTCAGGAAATAAAAATAAAAAAAAAAAAATCTAACATTTAAATCATGTGTTTTCTACAACCTTTACGTTAAACAAATTCTCGTAATTTTTATCAATGGAACCTATCTTTTTTTCTTTTTAACTATTTTGTGGCTGGATAATAAAGACTGTCTTAAATCATGTAAGAGCTTTTACAATAAGCTTAACTTTCAAGATTTTATGTCATACAATTCTCTTTTCTTTTTCTCAATTTTTTTCCCTCTCCGCAACTATACCAGCTCAATATTAATCAGCTCTTGGGCAGCTGTTATTATTTAATGTGGTCTATTTAATTATAGGATATTTCAATTTTTTGTAAGTCAGATAGTGCATATATACATATGCACATACACACACACACACACACACACACACATGCGTGTATGTAGTTCTGGCCATAAAAATAAATTTTTTATTATCCAAATAAATATAGTTTTCAAGTGAGACAGCAGAGAGGTTAAATGATGAGCACTGAATTCTGACGAATCAGGTGTCAAGGAATTTTAAGTACAGTGATTCCATAAATGTTCTTAAGCCAACAGTATCTTACATATAATCTCCTCTTCTACAAGGAGAAGCCTTTTTATACTCCCCATAAGTACTTTTAGTAGCTTCCTCCTGTGTACTCCCTTAGCACATTGTACATACCTCTGATCAAGTCTTACTGTATTGTAGTCATTTATTTACAGGTCTGTCTCTCACTAGACAGAATTCCTTTAGGAGTGGGATGATGTCTTATTCATGTTTGAATCCCTAGTATATATCACATTGCCAACCACATATTCAGTATTCAGCTAATGTTTATCAAATATAATGTCTTCATTCAATAAGCAATTTTTACAGTCGAGGAATCTAGGAGTGAATGTTGAATGAGAAAATTACCATAGATATCCTTTCAAAAAACATATTCCATATTGCATTTTAAAAATGGTTTATAAATTGATTTATACACAGCCTCTCAGTAATATACTCACTTGCACACATCATTAACTTAGATAATTCAAAGTCATTATAATTAAAGCTCCACATTGGGGTTCAAATTTATTAAGAAATGTTGAGGCATATAAAAGGCATAAAGAGTACTATGATAAATACTCCTGTGCCCACTGTCCAGTTTAAGAAATAAAATATTACTAGTGCAGCTAAGCTCCCTTTACCTCTCCCCAGTCTCATCCTGCTTCCATCTTTCTTACACTTTCACTACCTATGTTTATAATCCTGAACAATATATAGGATTGATTATATGGCATGTTTTCAAACTATTGTATGGATAGTATCATACTGTGTATATTTATTTGTACCTTTTTTCTTTCAATATTATATTTGTTATATTCATTCATGTAGGTAAATGTATTCCTACTTCATTTATTTTCATGGCTTTTTTCCAACAAATGATCTATTCAATCATTTAAATATTTCTCCTGTTGATGGACATTTAGGTATTTCCAATGGTTTTAATTTTCCAAATAAGGATAAGAAGATGTTTTAGAAAATCCTTGCTAAGCCACCTGCTGTGGTAAATTAGAGGATTTAAATTATTTAGGATATAAAGTCTAATACTATTTTTAAACTCTTTACATTTTGCCCTTATGTTTGGGGTCTAACAATAAATGTACTACTTAGATTTCCATTTGTTGAATTACCTTGGTTATTTTTTCATGACTGACTTTGCTTCTAAAAAAAAATGTGAATCAAGTTAAAAGAAGACACTTAAACTAAAATAAAGACAAGTACCATGTTATTTCAGAAAACCTAGACTAAGATCTCATATCATCTAAGTCTAATAATATGTAGAATTCTTCCAACCCCAGATTACCATCCCCATCAGCAATGTTTGAAAAATATTTGAAAATGTTACCTTTTAAATGTTGGAAATTAATTTTTAAGTTTGACCTCAATTAAAGAAGATAAATTGTCAGATTACATACCAAACTGATATCTTAAACTTTGAAAATATTTCTTTTATATAATAATTGGGTAAGAATTTTCTAGACTTCAAATGGTTAAGTTTTTAAAGCAAGATATATGGACAGTTGTGAACAGAACAATAAGATATTTAGCCAACTAAAAACGAAATCAGGTATGCATAATGAGTTTTAAAATTTGTGACAAAATGATTTTAAAAGTAAACTGGACTACCTTAGTTTGTATAAATGAGGGCGGTCTCCTGAAGTGCAACTATCCAATTTGTCAGTGCTTGGACAAATTACTAAAATATCTTGCCCACTAAAAAGCTTTACCCTATTTATAAATTGTGGTTATTGGCCTTGACTCAAATTCAGATGTTACAGATTAGCCTAAAATCTGATTTTTAGGCTAATCAAATTCCTGATTGAAGCAGATTTAGGTAGACTAACTGCTGATACTTTCCAATTCACATTGCTGTAATCTATTTGGTTTCATTGAGCGAGACATATGAGGATGCTATAATAAAAACCTTTGATAAAGAGTCCCTAGAGTCAAGGTGTATGCTTAGGCAGGGCATTGTATTTCTCAGTCCATAGAAGTGCTTACATTAAGAAAATACATACCAATCTCTTGTCAGACTTAGAACTGGTATTTCTGAATAAGACTGTTCCTTCAGGAAATTGAGTGGCCTGTGGCCAGAGGAGGTATTGTTTTTCTTTTAAGTTCTTTGTTTTCATGAAAAGGCTCTTTGATTCTCAGAATGTATTTGTTTCAAGATAATTTAGTTTGAATTCACTTATGCTCAGAAGTCTGAAAAGCTTAAACTTTTACAGTGTATGTTTTATAGGCAACCCACACCTGATGAATTGAAGAGTCTTTTCCTATGTCATCAATTTTAATAATCAGAGTTTGGTTTCTAAAACCTGCATGGTTCTATCATATGGAACCTATAATTAATAGCAATTATATTTTCAAAACAGTACCTTTACCTTGTAGTAACAAATCTTTCTTAATACTATTAAGAGACAAATGAGTAGCTGTCAATTTTGGGTGAGGGGATTCATTTTCAGAGGAATTTGCCTGTTTATGAGCTTTCTTGAAGTTTAGATATGCTGCCATCAGGTGGTAGCAATATGTCATGTCCACGTGGCTCTTCAGATGGCACTCTGCTAAAGGTCACCAGTTTACTCCACTAAGATTTATAATCATGAATGTGCAGAATTGTATATGAAAATTAAAATAGCATTGTGTATCTGTTATTTTTATCAGAGCTAAGGTTGCTTTGAATGGAATTTTAAAAACAGATACATATTATAAGATTCAATTGGACATATTTTCCTCTGTTTTTAGTTGATCTTTTTTTTTGGTAAGTAAAACACTTCATCCTATACCTCGTAAGCATTTAGAAAAATAGAAAAATTAAATTAAAAGCTTAACTATTTATGTCATATCACTCACATGTAATTGCTATTAACCCTTTGCTTCATTTCCTTCCAGTCTTTTTTTTATTTGCACTTTTTAGTATGTTTTTATTTTTGTTTTTTGGAGTTGAGTTGGATAGCAGGAAAAGATATTTAGTTTTAGTAACATTGTATGTACAGCTTGTGTCCTTTACAGCTTTTAGAATTACAAGCTCTTTGTAACTGCCTTATGACTTCTTAATATTACATTGATTGAAGTTATCCATAATTTATATTCGCCTCTTGATAGATAATATATGATTCTGATTTTTACCGTCATTCAGAGGTTTTATCTCTGCCTCCCATCTATTGCCTATTAAGAGGGCCATTATTGCATTGCATCTATGATTTTTGTTTCAACATGAAAGAACTTCTAATTCATTCCTGAGTAGCTACATATTTTATATTTCCTCCATTGCGTTTTTTACTGCCAGAAAATTTGAACATTCAGTTTTCAACTATGAATGTAAATGTATAGTCTCTTTGTTATTATTTTCATATCATATAAATGTTTTATAATTTTGTAAATTATACCCAACCAGGTACCACATATAACCTCAGGGCCTGTGATAGTATGAGATGGAGCCATTACCCACTTCCTACCAAAATGATTTTTCTTCTCTTTTTTATAGCATAGAACATTGCATTAAAGAAATACAGTCTGAAGTTAAAAAACAGTATCCAGATGTGCAGCTGCAAACAACAACTGACTGCTTTGAATGGCTAACTAACTATAATTATAATACATCTAAGTCACCTTCCATTCCCCATGGAGAGATGATAAAATTCCTCAAAACACTGGTAAAAAAAAAAAAAAAGAATCTTTGTTTTATAATGGAGTGGGGTGGGTGAATAGGTAATACAATTCAATTTCTATGTATAAATATTTATTTTAGTAACCATATATATCTAGAGGTTTGTGTTTTTATTTTACTTTGTTCTTATATTTTTAATAGAATCCAGTGAGCCGCTTTTATTTTTTACTATGATTTTTATCAATAAGAGATTTTATATAAATGGAGATTTAAATATTATAATTTCTGGATGATTTGTGGTATGATATATTCCATATCAATACCACAAAATGTATTGATGTGTATCACAGCTGTCTACCAGAGAAGTTCATATCATTATATTTTGTGTCCCTTCACAACCATTTTCTTTATGCTTATTATTAAGCATAATAAGTTCCCCATCGATTCTATTAAGTGGCCTTGGCTATCATTCCCTGCATTCCCAACCTGCAGTCATACTCAGTTCTTATCTGTCAGGATAGCAATTTATACCAGATTGATGGAAAATTATTACATTGGTCATTCTTTGATACTGACCACCCTGTATGCTAGAGAAGTTTTTGTAACCTTTAACAAGAACAGTTATTTCATTGCACCTGTATCTACAAGGTGGCTAGTTTGCAAAAACATATTCCCACAGAAATAGCGCAGTTGTTAGAAAGCAGTATCTCTGTAGCTATGGTTTTAATTTAATTTAGGAAAAAAAGGAACTGTTTTTGTCTAAACATCAAACATTGACTAAGGCAGATGTGGAAAATATCTTGAGGTTGTAGATGGCTTAGGATGACAGAATCAGATGAAAATAGTTTTTGGCTGTTGTTATTATTACAGATGTCTCTTTAATGTTTACAAAGTAATAAAAAGAAGAGAAAGGAAGACTATGTGCCCTGAAGCCTTATTCTTTTAAGAAAATCCTCTCACCCATTATATCCTGAAGGTGGAGCCTTGAAGAATAAATATGGATATAGTTATTCCTTTAATTTTTATTAAGAGCCATGTGTATTGAATTTCATTAATATTGATGTAATAATGCTTTCTCATTTAATTAAAAGCAAAAGCTTTTAATTATCTTTTAATCTGTCACACATAAGTCATTCTCTATTCACTGCAGGGCAAAGGCCGCCTTAGTTTTGCTCGAATTCATTAGACTGATAGGCTTGTTCCAGACCTAGGTTTTTTTACATAATTGATCATGTTGTTTTAAGGAAGGAACTGCATTATTAAAACAGATCCAGATTAAAATGACCTTATTATCAAGTTTCTACATGCTAAAAATGTCAATCTTGATGGCATTTTTCATATATCTACTTTTTTCATAGAAAAATTTTTATTAATTATCTAGCTATTTAAATAAGAAACAGAGGTCCTAATTATGGCAATTGTACTGAAGTTATTTTCAAAATTCAAACAATCATCCTAAACACATGTTTTAAACCTCTGTAATCTATTATTCTTTGTTTGATCAAAAATTTACAGTTATTGACTGACTTAAACCCAAGACTGAAGCACCAACCTGACTCATTTGGCTTATAGAATTTACCAAAATATTGACTTGTCCTGGACTCTATCTAAGGTCATTTCTTTTCCAGAAGTATCAAAAGACCTAAATAGAGGGAGAGGACAGAGAAATAAGCTACGGAAAGGTCACATTTACTTTGTGGCTCTCTAGATTTTGGTAGAAAGAATGCAGACAAAGAGAATGAAGCCAGGGATCATTCTTGGTTCTGTCCCTTTTGTATGTGACCTTCGGAAAGTCATTGAAGCATGCTTCACTTTAGTGTATTTATCTGTAAATTGGGTCTTTAAAAATTTATGTCAAAATTTCTCATTATGAATAAACCAGACAGTATATGTAAAAATGCTTTTTATATAATAAAATATGTACATATTGTGTATAATTATTTATTACAAATAGAACATTAAATTATACATTGCAGTGTTTACAATGACTGAGTGTAAATTTCTGGAATTTATTTAGTAATTAATTGTTCATGATTCTCAGTCACACATAATATCTGTGTTATCTCCGTCAATAAGAAATTTGAAAGCCAGCCTGCTTTTATGCCCCTTGGACCTTGCTTCTATAAGTCTTGTAATCAGCTTGTTTCTGCTTATAGAATATAAACTAATTTCAGTATTAGCTGAAAATAGACATAATTAGGAAAGTCAGCAGGAAAGGAGACTGTGTGTTTGTAATTCAAAGTCCAAGAACAAAGTAATTTACTATTTGTAATTATACCCACCATTGTTTTTTGTCAGGACAGCAAGTATAAAGGAATAATTTCATATCATCTTTTGGGGAACTATAGTATCTTTTTCCCATTTTGAGTTATTTCTTTAGACAAAACTGAAATATTCTGAGATTAATTTTTAAAGTAAAGTAATATGGTTCTCAAAAAGGAATTTAAATGAAAGTTAAAATCTTTCAATGTATTACATTTTATTTCTCAGGATGGTAGCTATTAGTAACCTCTAGGCACATACTATATTTAAAGATCTCCACTCTATTCTAGAGTGATTTTAATGCATTGTATGTTCATTTGGGGTTTTATAATAATAAGTATACTCATTCAGGCATGAAAATCGTCTACCAGGAATTAATTAGGGGCATAATCTTGAATCTATTTTGTCTTAGGAATACATTTCAATCAATGTTTTACTATAGATTTGTATTTAGAATTTTTAAGCTGCTTCTGTCATATAGCTTGGGTTATATCAGGGCTGGATAATAATGAGAGCTAAAAGCTATATGTCTAAAAATCTAATTGAAAAGGTAATCAGATGGGCTCTACAAAATTTAACAGACCATAAAAGCTAGCATTCAAAAATGTCTGAATTAATTACATTTCAAATGCAAAAAAAGAAATCTTGAGGAGCATAATAGTATTGATTCTAAATTGAAATAAATTATTATGAAACTGTATATGATAGAATAGAATTTTATATAGTAGAAATAATTTTTTTCCTGTTACACTTAGAGTTAATCATTTCTAATGTTATCATTTACTTTTATTAGCAAGATTTGTTGAAGAATGAACAAAATCAAGAAGAAATGATACTTGATTTACTTTGGGATTTCTCCTGCCAGAGCAGCGTTTCATTTCCATCGACTCTAAGTGGAACATCTTTCCATTTCCTCTCTAGGACTTCTCTTCATTCTGTTGAAGATCATTCCTCTATGGATGCAAAATCTATATGGGATGATATCAGACTGCATCTTCGACGCTTCTTAGTGAGGAAGTTACAAAGCTATAATGAAATTAACAATTCACAGCAAAAAATTTTATTGAAAAATCAGTGCTTACAACAACTCTTGTTTCTTTATCCAGAATCGGATGTTATAATCAAGTACCAAAACATACAGAATAAACTGTTGGCTAAAGTTCTGCAGAACTTTTTTCCTTCTTACAGCAGAGATTCAAATTTAGACATAATAGTTCATGGATGTCAAAGCACAATGCTTAAATTATACTCAATGCTAAAAGAGGATTTTAACATACTCTGTGAAATTTTAGCTCCATCTTCAACAGTGAAATTCATTAAAGAAACTTACCTGGATACTGTTACAGAAGAAATGGCAAAATTTCTTGAAAATTTTTGTGAGCTGCAGTTCAAAGAAAACGCCGTCCGTGTGGTTAAAACAAGCAAGAGCTCCAGCAAGCATAGAGGAACAGTGCATGCTTTGGGTTAGTGACATTTAAAATTTTTGTTTGGTTTAACTTAAGCCTTTGATACTTTTAATTTCTAAGGTTTTTCTATGTGGCTAAATCTTACTGCAAACTTGAAAATAAATTAGAAAATAAATGTAATGAAATTTTGCAGTATACATTTCTCGTATGCATTCCTTTTTTTCTAAATATAGTCATAGAAATGTTTTTTTTCCTGTTAAATTGTTAAAGATATTGGAAATGTAAACCAAAATATTTCAAATTAGAGTTTTATTTCTCTTGGTTATGTATAACAAAAAGTAAAGTATTGGGTAACACACTCACATTCAGTTATATTAATATATATATAAAAAATAAAAGCATAATTTTAATTCATTGTGTCCTCCAATACCAAAGCATTATTAAGTAAAAGGAAGAATTGAAAATATGTTGAAATTTTTATTATGTAAAATTGGAAGTTTAAAAATTGTAATGTTTTGGTCAGCCAATTCTAATAAAGGACAACATGACATATTATAAAATTCTATATTATTGATTTGAAAGTATAGCATTTTAACTAAAGCTAATTTTAAAATTCCTCTATTATTTTTCTATAAGAATGTATATAAATAAAAGATGATTTGAAAATTCCTATTTTATTCAAAAGATAAAGGAAAAAAGGAAAGAAATTATTGTGATATAAAACATTTTTTTTCATGGTTTTAATTTCCTACCAGTAGAGAATAGTCAAGGTAAAAATATGATTGTTTAACAATTATCATTAGTCATACTCCTATATAAAACTCTGAGGTATATTTCTAAATAGGTTCATAAACTATATTGTTTAAGTATTTGAAAATTATTTGGTGAATTATTATATATCTTTGAATTTATGATCATCTTTTAAAACTTTCCATAGCTCATTATATTTTTACTTATCTTCATTAATAAAATTCCACAAGACCAAGTTAATATGATATATGAATTTTTCAAATGTTATAGTTTAATATTTTCTCTTAAAATTTTTATTTTCCTGTGGAAGCTATATCATATTACAGAACAGAGATGCATCAGCCAAGTTTTGGTTATGGCAAAATACAAAGTCACTTAATTTAGGAACATTACAATTTTGCTCAAAGCAAATAGACTTTCAATTTAGTTGTTAGCACATAAATTTTTAAATGCATTTCATTAGTGTACTTGTTTTCTAAAATTTTTATATTCTCTAAAAAAAAATTCCTGCTTACTTGTAAAGTGTTTTCAATACGAAAGTTTTATATGTGCTAAATATAGTTTATAACAGAAGAAAAGATCCATATGGTTGAAAATATGTGTAAGTTGCTATGGAGTCTTTAGGGCTGATATTGAAGTGTTTTCCCATTCATGAGCGAAAACTATGTGTGTCTGCTTTAAAACTAGAATTTGAAATATTTTCCAGAGTTGGGTGCATTGATCTTTCCTAGGTTCTTTTGTCTGAACTTTGGTATAAATCACATGCCAAATGAGCATTTTCTGTATGCCAGGCACTGTGCTAAGGATAACCCATTACTTATTTCAATTTTACAAACAAGGAAAGAAGCTTAGAAAGAAGGGCCAGGCACAGTGGCTCATACCTGTTATCCCAGCACTCTGGGAAGCCAAGGTGGGAGGACCACTTAAGACCAGGAGTTCAAGACCAACTAGGCATCATAATGAGACCTTGTTCCCTACAAAAAAAAATTTTTTTTTAATTATCTAGATATGATAGCACGCACTTGTAGTCCTAGCTACTCAGGAGGCTAAGGTGTAAGCCCAGGAGTTTGAGGCTTCAGTGAAGTATGATTGGGCCACTGTACTAAGATCCTGTCTCTAAAAAAAGAAAAAGAAAGAAAGAGGAAAGATTAACTTGCCCTGGATCATGTTGTACAGAGTCAGTATTCATATTCAAAATCAGGATTCATGTGCAGGTCATTATGTCTCCAAGGCACATGTCATTGGACTTTGTCTTAAAGTGTAGAATTAAATAACTTATCACCTTCAAAAGATATTTCAAGTAGCACTCTTCAAGTGGGCTGCCTTAAATAATAAATTAATTTATTTATGAAAATAAATTAAGTTCAGCTTTACTGACCACCATCTATCATAAGCAAGGCATTTAGCAGCTACCACATTTAAGGTTCTGTGCTAGACACAGTAAGGGAAAGAAAAATAAATGAGTCACTACTGCTGTTGTTGTATGAGAACTGCTAAACTAACTTAACAGATCAATCATGTTTTTCACTAGCATTTGACCCAATGATCCTATTTTATTTAGTGAGGACATACAGCTTTGAGATGAGCAATAATAGTTTATATTCCTCTTTGAATAAAATCTAGATTGGCTTGAATGGGTTGTATATTATCTTTAGTATATGTCTGTATCTTGATACTCACCAAGTCTTGATATTTTGCCTGAAATTAATAGAAAGAACATTCCTTAAGTAACAACTGGCAACAATAAGCTAACATTTATTGGTTCAGATATTGATGTACATTATCTCATTTAATTCTTTGAACCACTCAACAAGCTACGTGCCATTGTTTATCTTCCTTATACAGTAAGGAAACTAAGATATAGAGCTGTTAAGTAACTTGCTCAAGGTCATAGAATGAAACCAGATTCAAACTCATGTCTGACTTGACTCCAGAGCCCTTACTCTATGACTATGCTAAAACAATGGGATGGAAATATCATATCCCATTTAGAAACACTTCTGTGAATCCTGTGTTTACTTCCTCAACTTTAGTGTAGTGTAGAGAAGAATAGTATACTATTCTTCTCTAACCTATCGCACACTCTTCCCATTTGAAGACTACATAATCCCAATTTAAAAGTATTTTTGGATATAATTTCTATTTCGTGGCCTTAAGCAGGCTTTGTATGTATACTGTAGTCTTAATGAGTTAATGTCATATCTGTTTATATTTGTACCTATTTTGTTCTCAATGAGCTAAGACAATTTGGACCTGCTGAATCTTTACCTAGATTGCTTCTGATGTTGTACCTAGGTTGTGGATTGGTTCTTCTTCCCCGAATGGTCTGTAAATTATCTGTCTATCTGTATTAGCTGATTACTGCTTTATTCTTACATATATGACTTTAAAAGACTTTATGCATGAGTGAGTTCATTTAATCTTCTAAATAGCCCTTCACACTGTTCATACTTTATATATGAAAAAAACCGAGACTCAGAGAAGAAAGTGTTTGCCAAGGCTACACAGCTAATAACCCAAAGAAAGGGGATTCCTCTGTTTATAATTATTTGGTATATTATCTTGATATACCACTAAACTCTGTATCAAAAACTGTGCAAGACACTATGATAATTAGCATTAAAAATACTTCAACAAACACTCTCACATTTTCTTTTTGATTTTCACATTCCTATGTTCACTCATGTTTTCTTTATCTTTTTTATTGACAATGAATAACTGACATAATTTGCTTGTGGTGTTAACTCAGACACTGACTAGAGGTAGTTTTTATGCTATTCTATGCTATGCTATTCTAGTCTAGTCTACTCTACCAGCTGGCCTTTCTGGTGATAATGTTTACCTGGATGCCCTAGAGTGAGTTCTGTCTGCAACCAATTCAGGCTCTCTTGTACATATATTTAAAATATGGTCACAGTCTCTCTAGCAATTTTCCTGGGATAATGAATGGTACCAGACAGATAATTAATTTTATTTATATGTAAGCTTATCCTTAGATTTCACATCTTGGCCTTTTTTCTCCTTAATATTCATATGGTTTTGAATGTTTTGTTTCTTTGAGATCATGTGCTCTTTTAGTATTGTATATAGCTTACATATTTTGTTATGTGAAGAAAATGATGAAATAATGTTAACATAAATATTATATAATATTTTTGGTGATCTTTTCTACAAGACAGCAATATTATTTTTACAGATACTCTTAAAATTTTTCACGGGTGATTTAAGAACTAAGATTTTCTCAATCACTCTGATTTTGTTAATCTGTATTCTTAGAGTTTCTATAATTTTTTTAGGAAAATTATCAATTGTTTTCTAAAGGTTTATGCTACAATATTTAGGTTTTTTCATTTAGTTCAGAAGGCTTTAAAGTCAAAATAAACAGCTTTCAAAAAGCTAGAGATTTGCAATTAACATTTTGATTGTAACCTGATTCGCCATTATCTAGAAAGTCAGATCCATACTTACACATGTACTTGTGTCATCTACATATCAGGATGTAATGTATATTTTAACATTTTTCTATGTCTATCTTTGGGATGGTTTAAATGATAAAATCAATTTTACTTTTAAAATTATATTTTTGGGGGGATTTAAGTAAATTGTTTTCAATGTTTGAAAAAGAGAGGATTGTTTATGTATAATAAATTTCAGTTAAGTAGATCCTCTGTTTTTTCATATAAAAATATGAAATTAGGAGATTTCAGTTTTTGGATAAATTTCATGGCTCCCTGTATATCTTATCTTGACTTTATTGAGGCTATTGTTAGCTTGAAAAGGACAGACCCAAGAGAATATAATATTAATACATGCCTTTGAATATTTGGAAGATTTCTAAGAATCTACAGAAGGTGAGAGGTTGAACTGAGTGACCTCTAAGGTCCCTTCCCATTCACAGGCCCTTACTCTTTTGTTTAAGGAAGATTGGGGTTGAGGGGGACAGAATCCCTCAGGGGATGAAAGATCCTTCAAGATAAAGAAGTTCCTCAAACCAAAGAGAAGACAGACTGCTTGACTAAGGAGACACACAATCACTATTGTGTGATCTAGGCCAGTCAAAATCCACCCTACTCTCTCCTGCTCCTCAAGGAGCTCTAACCAGTCAAATGATGATATCAAGAAAAGGTGAAGAGGTATAGTGAGGCCAGCATCTATGAAAAGTTGGGCATTATCCCTGTTTTATAGATACAGAAACTGAGGTTTGAACAAGTTAATTAGCTTGCCCAAAGTTCCACTGCTAGCAAGTTCGTTGCTATTCAAACCCATTTCTGAATTATGACAAAGCCTGTTCTCTTTAACTACTGTGA